ACATAATGATAAGGTTGCCAAAAATCTTAATATTCAAACAAAAATTGTTGATTGCACACTGTTTTGCAGAACATTTGAGCTTGCACTTCAAAGACAAGATGAACATAAGGGTTCATTTAATCCAGGAGTTTTCCAGAGATCTTACTAACTTCTCAGAAGAATTTGATTCATCTCTTAAAGACCATCTCACTAATGCCAATGTTTTTACAAGAACATGAAAAGAAATTAAAAATAATTCACTAGACTGCATGCTCACTATTTGTCAGAACCACAGAAAAAATAAGATCTCAAAAGCAAATTTTCTTTCAGTAATAGCAGATGAAATTACTGATGTGTTATTCAGTTCACGATTGGTTGTACTTTTTTTGATAGGATTTAAGTAACAAATAACTGGTTGAGAGATTCTGGGAATTTATGAAAACGATGCCCGGGCAAAATGCAAAATCTAAAGTAGCCAATCAAGTAGTACACAAACCAGAGAAATTAATATCACAGAACTATGATGGAGCAAGCACGATGAGCAGTCATCACACTGGTGTTCAAACTTTTCAGTGTACCAAGAAGAAAGCACAATTTTTGCACTACTATGGCACATCAGTTTGATTACTATGATCATCTACTATGACATCAGTTTTGATTGTTAAGCAAACAATCAGTCAGAATCAGCAAGTTCTGAGTATTTTTTTAAACCTAAGTGGCATTACAGACTTTTTCAATAACTTATAAGGTATTTCTCTCGCCTTCCTAGCTTGCCTTCGTGGTGTAATGGCTCTGCACGCTGGGCCGGTAATCCAGAGGTCCGTGGTTCGATTCCCGGCGAAAGCGATTGCTTATTTTTCATCTTGCCTGCTTCCAAAGAATACCTAATGTGTCTACAGTGGCGCCCGAACAAAAAAAAAGAATGGTGAACGATGATTCTCAACACCCAGCACTTGGCAATTGTGTCCCCTAAAAACCTCAGTCGCCCTTTAAAAGGGGGAGTATATAAGATATTTCTCCCGCCTTCCTAGCATGCCTTTGTGGTGTAGTGGTTTTGCATGCTGGGCTGATATTCCAGAGGCCCGTGGTTTGATTCCTGGCAAAGGCAATTGCTCATTTTCATCTTGCCTGCTTCCAAAAAATACCTAATGTCTCTACAAACTCTCCACAGAGAATGACTATTCTAGATGAAATTGTTAGGAAAAGGATACCTCATGGTTCAGCTACTAGATGGAATTTTACTCCTAGTTGAACCATCGATACAGTATATGAATATAGAGAACAGATGATTAAATGCATGGAAAAAATAGAGTCAATATCTACACAAGCTACGGCAATAAATTAAGCATAATTAGCCTTATGTTAAAAAATTAAGAATTTGTGTTTTAGCTTCCAGTGTTTCACAATATTATGCTGTGTTATAAAACCAACTTCAAAATATATTAACTGATGTAGTAGCCGTTAGAAACCAAGTTAACAATTTCCAGTGACAAAGGAGATGCCAGAATCCTACGATACTTCAAGGAAAAATAAAGAGAGGAAATATTCGTATGCCATATTTTATAGACTATAAGGTGCACTTTTCTCTTCAAAAACTTGCCTCCAAAATTCAGGTGTGTCTTACACTCAAAATTAATATAAAAGTGTCCAATGTTTGATTTAAAATTCTAGCCAGTCTTAAAATGGCCATATATTAGATGCCACGAGAAACCCATCTGTATTTGGCAACAATGGATTCAACTGACAGCAAATCACAACACTGTTGCCCTCCCACTATCACAAACCCAGAACATTGTCTAGCCTATGATGCAAGATTGCACTCTGTGGTGTGCCAATGAACTTAAACTGAAAGTAATTTGTGTTATCAGTAACAGTACAATATTTTTTGTTAGTAGCTAGTTTTGTAATGAAAAATAAATAAATAAATAAAATAAAATAAAAATAAAAAATAAATGAAAGGTATTCATATGATGCGAGTTATAAATTGAAAGTAATAGCATATGCAGAAGAACATGGAAACAGAGCAGCTGAGTGGCATTTCAGCCCTCCACCAACAGAAAAAAACTAGCCGCGGAAACAGAGCAGCTGAGTGGCATTTCAGCCCTCCACCAACAGAAAAAAAACTAGTCGCGATTTGCGGGATAGTAAAGAAGAACTTAAAAAAAATTAGGAAGACTAAATAGATGACTGAATGCAAAATGGCCAAAACTAGATGATGATGTATTGAAATGGATTCAAGAACACCATCATTAATGGCATTGGAATTAATATAAAATTGATTCAAATACGCACTCGTAAGCTAACACTAGAGTGGAACTTAACAGATTTTAAGGGAGGAGTTTGTTGGTGTTACAGGTTTATGAAGGTTCATGGACTTAGCATGTGAACCAAAACCAAAACACCTCAGGAAATTCGAGTATGAAGAGAAAATATTATCTTTACATTGCTTCATTGTTCAACATCGAAAGAAAGGCAGTGTGGAACTAGGCCAAATAGCAAATATGGACAAATTAATCTAACCTTTGATCTGCCGAGTAACAGAACTGTTGTCATGAAAGGTACTAAAACTGTAACTATAAAAACAAGTGGCCATGAAAAAATGCACCACACTGTTGTCCGTTCATGCTGTGCCGACGATACTAAACACAGTCCAATGATCATTTTCAAGAGCAAAGCAATGCTGAAACCTTCTGAAATAGTGCCAAGTGTTATTGTTCATGTACATGACAAGGGTTGGATGGCTGAGGCTGGTTTGAAATTATGGATTAACAGAGTAAGGGAGAGAAGGAAATCTGCTTACTGAAGAGTTCTCTTTTTGTGCTAGATCAGTTTAGTAATCATTTGAAAAATTCTGTAAAAGAGAAATTGAGACTGGGAAATACAGAACTTGCTGTTATTCCGGGAGGACTTACTTCACAATTGCAACCTCTTGATGTCTTGATAAATAAACCATTTAAAGTGTATATGAGAGAGGAATGGAACAAATGGATGATAGATGAAAACCAACATGAATTCACGCCAAAGGAAACTTTAAAACAACCTACAATCAAACAAGTGTGTCAGTGGATAAAACAGTTATGGTCTAAAGTCAGAGAAGATATTATTGTTAAATCTTTCAAGAAGTGTGGCTTAGGTTACACTCAAGACCATCTTATGATTACCGATGACAGTCAAGACCATCTTATTTATGAAGAGGACAACGATCATAACAAGGAAGAAGAAAGAAGGAAAGGTCAGATGACAATTTTCAAGGATTTTAAAGGTCAGTTTAGTTTTATAAACTATTTTTTTTTTTCCTTTGCAATTGAATAATAAAAAACGGTTAAAATGTTACTTTAAAAAAAAAAAAAAAACCTTACAAATTAAGTTGCATCTTATAGTCCATAAAATATGGTAAAAAAAAGTAGAACTGTAATAGATAAATATACAAGTGATATTATCAAGAAGCAAGTTAAAGAGAGATTTTGTTTTCTTTCTTGCCTTTCTGCTATTTCTTTCTTCAAAACTCCAAAATTCTAGTACTGCAAGAAAAAGTTTCTTAAAACATCTTTAAGACAACTATGAACGAGGACAAACAAAGCTCTCTAGCCATGATCTCAATTGGGGGGGGGGGGGGGGGAAGAACGATTAAAAATATCATCTAAATTTAATGGAAATGTTATTGACTTGTCTTTAAAAAAAAAAGAGAGAGAGAGTTGATGATGATGATGATGACAACGAATTGATTTAATTTACAAAAATTGTACTTCACTATTTTGTAATCAATATTAAAGATATATTGCGAGCAGTATTACGGTCTTATTACATTCCATCGTAAGAGATAAAACATTACAATCAATTTTTTTTTTTTTTTTTACCTATGAGAACTTGTTTTCTTTTAGTTGAATTATTTTCCTTTAACTTGCAAAAATGCAAATGTATTTCAACTTGTAAGTCATGTTGTATCTGCATATTTTATTTTCAAAATCTGCTTTGTGAACCTCCATTTTTTAAATACCCCACGAACCACCATTAATATCACATTTGCATTACATGAGCATTAAGTAAATACATGTTACATACAAATGTATGATTTTTATTTACATATACACACAGAAACATGAAATTGTATGGAAATTAGACTCCCAATTAAATGGCCATTATCGAAACAGCAAAACTTACAAATGAAAAATGCATCTCTAATGTTGTATAAGAATATTTATTAATTTTTTTAATTCCTATTTTGAAGCAGAATTGTACAAGTTTTCCATAAATGTAAAATCAAAATCAAAGGTAGGCAAACTGCTTTACTATTTAATATATAATTTATCAGAAGTTCAGTACATTTGCTGCAACAACTACATAAAATATTTCAAAATTACCATAAGCACTGCTGTTGTTTAAATTCTTTCTACGCACAGTACTGTGATGTCTATGAGTGCAGCATATGGTATGTTTTTTCTAGAACTGCTACTGAAATTTATGACGAAAAGTCTTGACAAAAATATAGCCAGTTAAAACACGACCAATCCAAAGGAAATCTACTGTATTCAATTTTTAAGCATTAAATACTGGATTTAGAATCTTGATGGTTTCTACGTACATGATTTGTTTTCTAAAATACTAAATAAGTATTCAAAAACTTCAAAAACTAAATAAGCATTTGTTTTCTAAAATACATATTAAATTTAAGAAATTTTAAAATTGATTGGCAATAAATATACATTAAGAAAACTTAATTATTATGCACTAAGGAAGTATAACTTTTTTAATCACTCTTAGCATTATGCAAAAAATCTTACACAAGGAATTATAATAAGCAATTAAATGTACATAATATATAGAAACACAATTAAAAGTTAACAATAATGGTTTTCTTTAATTTTATATAAAAAAAGTTTTGATAAAATTTAATTGATTAAATACATCAAAAAATAATTGAAGAGACAATATGAAATATAACAATCTTCAATAACTCAACATTATTTAAATGATTATTATGCATACTGAAAATACATTAAAAAGAAACAAAGAGAAATTACCTAAGAAATATATTATTTATCTGTTTTCTAATGAAAGCCCTCAAACCCAAGAATTTCCCGTATATCCTGTGTAATACCGTTTTCAAGAATTCTCTCTCCCTAGGATCTTCACTGTCAAATAATTCCAAAAGCTAGAAAGAAAGGGGGAATAAAATTGTTTTCTCCATAAAACTGACAAAATTAGATGCAAATGAAATATTATCACATAAATGAATGTTTTTTTTTTTTATTTATTTATTTAGCTATAGCTGCACAAAGTAGATAAATGGCTCCCAATGTTTGAATACCAGTTCCCCAGGGAAATGAGCTTATTTTTGGTAGATTATGAAAAGTTTCATCTGTTCTCTGTTTCATAATATAAAAGTACATACTAGCTGATAATTATCAATTGTTTCTGCATGGAATGTTGATTTAAGACAATAATTGCTTAGCAGGTAATTAATTAGAGTTATCAAAACAGCTTACAATATTATCACCTCTTAAAATTTTAATAAAGAGAGGAAAAGCTGTTTTAAGGATGTAAGCTTCTGCATATCTTCAAAAATGCATAACCAAAAAAATTACTATTTTATATATAGCTGTTACTGTTGTTTTAAATAAGATCCCTCCAAATGCAAAACTATTTGTTCTAGGATATAATACAATTTTTTTTCGTAACAATAAATGCAACTTAAATAAAAAAATTTAACATAAATCACTTACAGTCAAGCCTGTGTCATAAGTGTTACTGATTTTTGTAGAATATGAACAGAAACAAGCTTCATTTTTAGTTTGGAATGCCACAATTCCTACTTATTTTTATGTTATTGAAGTTAATCTTGAAAAAACCGCTAATTTTTATTATTATTATTTATTTTTAATTAAAATTTTTAGTCTGTATAATTTTCTTTTGATTTTTGTACATCTGCCATATATATACAGTACAAAACTTTATTTAGCAATACTGTCATTATTTTGAGTATGAGTAAACTTATAATGTAATATTTTGAAGGCAAATTTTATTTTTATTAACCAATAAGAATGAAATTAATGAAAATAAACATGAATAAAAATTAAATGATTGCTATTTCCCAAATTATAATTTATTGTTATTACTACATACACTATTTATAATTTAAACATTTATAACATCAAAACCAAAGTACAAATGATGACAACTTTGAGAATACTACATAAAGTCACTACAAAAATGTAAATTTGTACATGATAACAGGACTGTAATTTGATAATGAGGTCTTTGATAAAGAAAAATCTTACTTGAAGAACAAATTTCTGGTCAATAACTTTTTTACCAATTACTGGCTGGAAGTCTGGACTTTCCAAGAACCTCAGGAAAAACTCGTAGACCAGCTAAAGTGCAAACACGCAGATTTCAGTTTAACCAAAAAATTATAAAATAAATTGAGAAGTTAATACAAAAAGCTTTATTAAAACTTTTCAATTCCTAAAATATTAATTCAGATGAAAATTTAATACAGTAAAAATTTCAACTGAAATTCTTCTCAAAAAAATAAACAAATTTTTAAGAAAATATTTCACATGCTTCCAAGAAACAAACAAAAATTTGATTAATTTTTAAATCAGATTGGAAAAAATCTGAAGATTTTAAATAAAACAAAGCAGCTACCTGCAAGTGCGGCCATGAGGCTTCAAGAGTAGGATCATCTTCTTCAGGATCAAAATCTGGATTTTCACTAGGTGGCAATGTGCGAAATAAATTGCAAGCAATCTGCAGAATATAAAACAAATTCAATACGCATTTTTAAAAGACAAATAAATATGACATATTTAGACAAGAGAAATGAAAAATAATATGTTTTATAATTAAATAGTAATTTTACATAATTTTGAAACATTTTTTTTAAAGATTTTTTTTATAGCACAATAAGGCAGTAAAATTTTTTGAATGTAAGAAATGTCTCTTCAGTTACTTCAATAAACAAAGAACTAATGTAGAATGATATAAATCAAGAACATGTTATTGGCAATATTCTCTTTGAAAACATGAACGGTGTAATAAGAGATAAGTTAGGTTGTCATAAAACACATGGGAGCTATTTGTTTAAGGAGAGGGTTTTTTTTTAATTGCACAAAAAATATATTTCCTCGTGCACCACGTGAAGTATTAAACGACTTACAAAAATGTTAGTAAAAAAAAAAGACACACACAAAAAAAGGAGAGGTACTTCATGGAGGAATTGGCTCTTATTCACATTAGACACGTGGAAAATTATAAAAATCAACTCGGAATAGAATGAAATAAAAATCAACTCGGAATAGAATGAAGCCCTTTTACCTGGAATAGACTGAAAATTCGGATAAATTTATTTAAAAAGTGTATTCTAGCCAGAAATATAGAACTCAAACAGTACAGTCTACCATATATTATCTTATAGAGGAAAATATCCAACATTATATTTTATTATTATATTTCATTCCAGGGAATTTAGAATCCCACTTGCATACTCTAGAACATGTGCTTGAAAAATTTCAAAAGAGATGTTTATGTTCAAGAAAGAAAAAACTTCAAGAAAACAAGAAAGAAATCTAGAATGGGTGTTAAAAGGATTACCTGCTTTCTCAGATGCCACAATATAAAAGTACATATTTTCCCAGCAGTAAAACTGTAAATCATTTTGAATAAAACAGGTAATTTTTGCCATGCAAATGATAAAAATATGATGCAGTGATGTTGTTAAAATTTTGATTTTAAAGTACCTTCCAGGAGTAACCTACCACAGAGAAGGTTAGAGAGAGTTTCATAATTTCCTCAGAGGTAGAATACATTAATTGCATTTGCTTTCATAATAAATGCACTGCAACTAAGTAATAATAAAAAAGAAAGAAAAAAAATCAGTTTAGATGAACCTCTAGAAAGCTGTAAATGGTGCTTACTGAACAACAGGAAGTTTTAACTCTAAAATCAAAATTTAACAGTATTGCCTCAACAGAATTGTATCATTTGCAGGGAAGGGACCCAAACTTATAAACCTCCAGAAGAAAAATAATTACTTTTCTTGTGCAAATGTTCACAAGGATGCTCAATCAAAAATGTAAAATATTTTTAACTGTGAACTAAAAACATCAATCGTAACAGATAAGAATCCTCTGATAACACAAAGCTACTTGTCTTTCTAAAATTTTATAGGCTACAAATATGCTTCTTTGTCGACAATGATGTCCCTGAATAAGAATATTTATAAATAATTATTTTAACTAGTAATTCAATGTTTAATTATTAACAGTCAAATGTCGTTAATCCGGACTCGTTGGGAGTTCGGCGATTCCGGATTATCGATTTTTCTGGATTATAGATCATCAGTTTAAATCTGGTAAGATAGCATGCAGAAATTATAAAATTAAAAATATAAAACTGTAATTTATGAAATAAAGAACAATTATGATTTAAAGGGTATCAAAATTTACAAAAAAAAAAAAAAAAAAAAGAGAGAGAGAGAGAGAGAGAGGAGAGAGAGAGAGAGCTTAATATTTATTTGTTTACTTTATTAAACATTTCTTTCAATGTAAATTGTTTAAGTTGCTTTGTTTTATGTGCTAATACTTTCTCTTTAATTCTATAAATACAGACATAATTTCTTGTTCAGTTACAAAGTTCCACTGTTCAAGTCCTGTAATTGCTGTGTCGAGAATACCTACTAACTTGTCAATCGAAATTTTTTCGTTTTCACTAACCTTTTTGTCACTTTCTTCATGCCTTTATCCTTTTTTTGCAGCAATTCCACTTTTTGTTTGATGGACATCGAAACATACTTTTGCTTTGTAGATCCTTTGGGAGCTCCAGCATCGAAAATTCTATTTGACATAATCGGAAGTTCAAGCTTACTTTTATAAAATTGCTCTAACAGTCTGCAAAAAATAATAAGCCGGATCCAATTCGAAGATTAAGGAACAACGCAATCTGCAACATTAACTGAAATAGATAATTAGATAATTTTAGCTTATACCATCCGTTATACATTACACGCGCATGCGTAAACGTACTATGTGCTTGCGCACACACATATGCGCAGCCGTAAAGGTCTTATGCGCATATGCATTTCTGCAACGCGATGCATATACAGACAGTTTGTAGCTTTGAGGTCCGGATTATGGGTGTTACGAATTAACGACTTTTGACTGTTTCGGCAATTTTAATAAGTAACATTCAATCTTGCATTCTAAATGTATTTGCTGTGCTTTGACCCTTTGCTAAGCAACAAGATGAAGTGGCAAAGAAACTGGCAATATATACACTTACGGTTGGCCCATATTTTATACCGGTAACAAACAGTGTATAAAATGCGAAATATGAATTAATTGGAACTTTTGCCAATCCGAATTCTAGATCATTAGTTTAAATTTAGCAAACTGAAAAATAAAAATTGTCAATACGAAATAGTTTTATTAAACACTTTTTTCAACGTAAGTTGCTTAAGCTGTTTCTTTTTCCACCCTTTCTTCTCTACCTTTTTATTTCAGAGGCATCTGCTAATAGAAGCACATCTTCCTTTACGTAAAGGTTTAAGTATTTGCCTTTGTTCTTTATTCCAAAATGGTCCCAGACCTTCTGTGCATGCTTATAATTTTCTTCAGCAAGTTTGGAGTAAAAGGCCTTTTTGCATGGTAGCTGAGGCTTTTTGCATTTCCCCCCATAAATCCATGCAGTCATAGGGATACACTCCCTTACTTGTTAGTAGGTGTAATTCTTCCTGACGAAAGAATCTGGATATCTCCCTAAACTTCCCCTTATCCTGGTTCCTCGTCAAACAATCCAAACTGGAAGCCATAAACATTTTTGGTGCTAATACTTTCCCTTTATTTTATATACAGATATAAATTCTTGTTACAAAGTTCTATTGTTCAAATCCTGTAACTGCAAATCCAGAGTTTTCAGTACACTGTGATTCAAAATCTTTTCATTCTCAACAACATATTTTTCACTACTGGTAATGATACTTCCGGTTTTAAATCCAAAATTCAAACTTTCATAAGTTAGTTGTTAAGAATATTAGTTTTAAGGGAGGGCAAGCTGGATCAAATTACAGAGAAAAAGCACAATTTGATACCTTAATTCACTTATGTTCCTCGGAATTTAATTTTTTCTCATTTCCCTGCTGCTATGCAACAAAAGAAAACCAGTATGTACAACATTCCACTACTGACAAGTATCTCTTGGGACATCACTTATTGTTGAGATTAGGTAGAAAAATGCTATCCTCCCTAACCACTCAAGGACTGAAAGTGTGACCCTGACCTACATCAATGTATAGTCATTTGGCCAGAGTGTGATCCTTAACCAGCAAGTATTTGAAACTGATGTGGAGGAATCTCTATTAGTTCATAGAAAACACACTTTTAGGAACATCTGCTTTTTCTTGAACCCAATGCATCAACGATGCATTTCTCATTTTAATTAATAACATTAAAAATCAAGAATGCATGTCCTGTATGACTACAGATATGTATCGAGAATATACAGGAATAAATGTGTTGAACTCGACACATTTGTCATATATATATGTGTGTGTGTTATATGAGACCTATACATAAATATGCATGTAATAAAAATACATTTTAGAAGTACTGATGTAGGAACACAGAGATGTAGAAATGCAAAAACAACAATGGCATAGATACTTGACAGCTTAGATTGTAGATCCGTATTAAAAAGGAATAATTTTGACAGCATAGAATGCTAATCCATAATGAATTGAAAACTTGGCAGTAGAGCAATATTAAATATTCATTTTTATTCCAACTGATGCTAGTGGCCACAATTTATTTGGCACTCTGATCACACCTATTAAAAACATTTACATTTTTTATTTTATTGTGATAGGAAGAGCGCACAGCGAAATTGCACCCAAGTAGCCCAGAGGATGAAGTGAAGCTGCGCAATTATCCAGCAGAAAAGCTCGCCAACAGGAAGGTTTTGGTTTAGGTTAGAAAGTTTTTAGCTTGGAAAATTTTGAGTTCAAGTTTTCAATTAGCTACATCATCAGCATTATGCAAGATAGATTGATCTGGAAATGATGCAGACCAAAAATGTTACATAAGTTCTCCCCTCATTTTTCTTTTAAGAATAAAGAGGAAATATCCAAATTAAACATCAGGAATTAAGTGACTATTCTTAAATTAAATTTACAATGAATTTAGAGGCTATTCTTGAATTAAATCATAAAGTTGATTTGCATAATTTTTATCTTATACATACATACATACATATATACATAAATAAACATTTCTGGATAACAAAATTATTATTAATGAAACAAATCTTTGTTTCTAAAATGGGATATAATTTTGAAACTCCTTACATGCTTTGTAGAGAGACTTCACTTCTGCAAATGTTATTTTATTAACTTCCCCACCTTCACATTAAAATACATTATATTAATTAAGTTAAAATGCAGCCTGCAAAGATTTACAAAAACAAAATTAAAAAAAAATTATATTATTTTTCAACTATTTATACATAAATATCATACGTAACATTCTAAGTTGTGTGAATCATCTATTGTGCATAGTCTGATGGTGGTGATTCAAATTTAAAAATATATCTTGATTTCTTTCAGTTTCCCTACTGATTAACACGAGATCCAATTATTGCTTTCATACTTTAGTATTTCCCGATTTTTACTCTCTTCATTCCTGGAAATTAATATGTCACAGCCTTATCTGATGGAACAATCTGTGATAGATTTAAAACATCTTTATTTAGTTCAGCTAGAAATCTGAAACTTAAGAATTAATATGCACTACATTTAATAACATTAAAGTAAAGATATCTGATTTTATTGAAAATAAAGGCACATCACAGTCTTTGAAATTAATTGAATTTTATACCCATTTTCAAAGCTTTTTGTGATTTTTCCCTGCCTAAGCAAAGTTTCTAACACTCTACTTAAGTCAGTATGTTGTTTTATGTTTAGAATTTCAATGAATGATGAGTTGAGGTCACATATTCTTATATTTATATTTTTTTAATGTGTAAATATATTTATGGGATCTGTGTCTACAACCAGAAAGCAATTTGTAACTTACAGTTTGTAATTTTTTCTTTGTGGCATCAAGCAAATAGTGAAAAAATGAAGAATCAAAAGGATGCTCACCTTAACAAGTAATCTATGCACAAGCCTGTAAGATAACTATTGTGGGTGCACTGATTTCAGTGTATTGCTGTAGTTAGCATTAGCGCTTACTGAAATATGACTTCCATTGCTACAATAAAGAGTAAACATTTAACTACAAAATTCATTATGAATGAAAATGAGTCAAACTCCCTGCTATTCATTTAACTACAGTACTGAAGTTATCTGTCATGCAAAATCCTTGTTCTGTATTTTCACATAAATACATATATAAATAAATATAACTGAGAATGTAGTTTACATTGTAAATGCAGAAATTTTAAATACTCAAACAACTATTGCAGAAAATTAAGTGAACTTGTTCAAATTCACAATTTACTGCAATTACAATATTTAAGATACACACATTAAGTTGTTATTTATTCGTAAAAATATGTAAAACTTAATAAAATGAATAAAAGGTAAACTATCAAATTTATGGGAAAATGATGCCAATTGTATTGTGAGTAAAATAATCAAGGGGGGGGAGCCGTAAGCTTAAAAATTGCAGTTCAAAAATTCAACAAACAAATAGAACGTTGTTTACTGCAGAATCATTTTAAGTTAAATACTAAGATTTCATTATTCTAGCCTTTCTATTCTCCTCAATCCAAAAGGAAACAGATTAAAGAATGATGCAGTACAGTAGAGATACATCATTTAGTAGTTGACTGACAACATAAAAAGTATTAGATGAAGTTTTCTGCTGAAAATAAATATTCTGGGGTGTTTACTTTTGAAATTCGATGATCACATAATTCTTGTCTTAATGCAAGTTATATAAATAATTTAGTTGCCATTATTAGCAGAAAAAGTTAAGTAGCAGTTATGAATAAATTTATTACTACTTACCTATGCAGTTTTTAGTTAATTTTGTATTCTGTGATGGAGAAAATTCAACAGACACATTAAAAACCCAGATATACAGATGTGATTGTGTTTACAGAATTTAATGGCTGCAATTCATAACATATGCTGCAGACTTATAAATCGAATATTAAATATATATATATATATATATGAGCAGAAACATAAAACCATGAAACAATCATTCAGCTCAAATGGGAACAGAAACACACCTATGTAAAAGCTAAAAAAATCTGGCAAAACAGCAACTTTATTTGGCCAAAATAAGGTCACTGTTTTGCCTAATTTTAAATCATTAAGCTATAAATCATGCAATTCAAAAGCTGTGATTTAAAAACATGATCCATTAATGTACAAAATGAAATGCATCAATGGTAGTTGTTTACATAAATGAAAACTTATGAAATCACAGTGCTTGCCTCATTCTAAATGAGTCTTTGTACCTTTTTAACGGGATTTCTGTTTGGAGCTGATCAAAATTCTATAATTTGAAATTTTTTTCTTATGTAGGAACTGAACATATAATGTCCTATTTTTTACAACAGCCAGGGTTTACATAAACTAAACACAAATGTTTTAATAATTTTCATATTGCTAAATTCTCTGATACTAAGAGTGAAAAAAATTCATATTACTAAAAATAATTTTAAAAACCTATGCTTACCATTCGAATTATTTCTGGATATGCAGGCTCTGTTAATACACCTTTACCAGCTGTAATATAATCTACCAACTCATTTAATGTCGCCCGTTTAATTTCTTTACCCTTTAAATCTGATACTGGGTCCATAAAATCAAACACCATAGCACATTGCAAAAGTTTTCGAATAAACAATTCCTCTTGCTCTGAAGGGGGAACATCAAAGAAGAAGAAAAAAAAAAAAAAAAAAAAAAAAGATAATCAATACAAGGATAAGTACAAGCAAGAGAGTAGTACAATACTGTATGACCATTTGGTCTAGATAACATTTTGCGCAATATGCTGCAAAATAAGTAATTAGAAATTGTAAGTTCGCTAAAAGTACGGAGCTTGGCTCAAAAAAGTTCAACACGTTTTAAGAAACATGAAGGGTGAGAATATGCTAATGAGAAAGGAAAAAACACATTAAAAAATCAGCATGGAAACTAGTAAAGGCAGAAAATACAGTAAAATACCTATGGATGTGCCATTTGAAAAATTAATACATATGAAAATCAAACCAAGTAGCAAGTATATATGCATACATACATAAATAAAGATTCAGTTCTAAATTACAGAAAATTATACCCAGGCTACACTTTAAATGACATGTCAAGAATCTGTTAACAAATTGGCTCTTTCCTGAATGAAAAAGAAAGCAAGTAATGCATCCCCCCCGCTAAATAAATATTTGTTCCCTCTTTTCCTTTCAATTTACACTTCATATCACTTAAATCCCCTTATCTTCTCTCAAATTTTTCAATTAAAATATAAGGTAATAATGGAATAGTTCATATTTTGAAAGCCAATGATATCCAGATCATTGATCCAAATAAAATTTGAAAAAACAAAAAAGTAAGTAATAAAGAAATTGCAAATAATAATATCTAACTACTTATCAGCAATAATCAAATAAATCCATTTTCACTGTCTTAAATGCAGAAATTTTCATAAATTATAGTAAGCAGATAGAATGAAATAAATAAAAAATTTCCTAATATCTCAATAAAGTAATTAATTTTATTATAATTTTAATATAAAATAAATTCATATAATTAAAACTGGAAGCACTGATGCAAAATACATAACAATGATACTGTTAATTCCATTTAAAATGTATGTGATAATAATGCTTAATGCTAACAAAATAAAAACAGAGAATATGAAGATTATAATAAGAAAACACTGAATTTTTAAATGATGCTGCAGATATATATTTTCACATCAATATTACAGGACTTAAGTAAAAGGGATGAAACACAACAGTTTGCAGGTATTTTTTAAATTTTTAATTTTCTGGTTTGGATTAATTTCTCACTAAAAAAATACTATAATAAAGAATAAGATGTTTGCCGTATTCAGAAACTAAATTTCTGATGCTTAAAACTATATTAACGCCCATATTCAATTTTATTGCAGTTTTTGCATGGCCCATATTCAATTTTATTGCAGTTTTTGCATGGAGCTCGCCAAACTAGTTGATTAGAATTTCAGCCGATGAAAACGGGCACGTCGCTCGCTTAAGGCGCGTCGTAATACCTTTTCGTCTGCTGGCTTCATTTCATGAAGGAATGATGTTTGCGTAAGGCTGTTGTTATTTTCAAAGACATGGCGCCACGAGCAAATTTTCGTTCACTGGCCGGCTCTGATGTCACCCAGCGTATCATTCGTAACAGTACATTGTATTGCTACCGACGGAGGGGCTGCTAAAACGGAGCAATGGGCATCCGTTTTTTTAATGTTGTGTCACGTGACTTTTGCCGCGCTTAAAACAAAATGACAAGAAATGTTTTGCGTTCCTACAAAGTTATACAATCTCCATAGGACAATGGTGTAAAACTTGGAGAGTGAAAATAACGCCAGCAAATTGCAATTACTCATTCTTTCGTAACACCAAACAGAGGCAGAATGATTATCGAAATTTTATTTTATTTAACGAGATTGTACCTATTGTTGATAAAGCAAAACATTTGAGAATTATTATTAACCACCACCTTACATGAAGTGATCACATAAAACGTGTTCGGAGTAAAGCTATCAGTATTATCAACATATTTCTACCGGTTATTGGCAAATACTCAAAACTGAGTCTTAGAACAAAGTAGGCACATTTACAATGCCTGTATTGGGCTTATTCTTTGTTATGCAGCCCCAGCATGGAACACGGCGCCAAGGATCGCCAAATTTATCAATTACAAATTGTACAAAATAAATTCCTTAGAATTAATTATTACTGACGCTCATTTCTTGGTTTGAAATGCTTTTCTCCACAAGGATATCAAAACTTTTCTTCAAAAAACAACTGAACGCTTCTTTCATAAAGCTATTTATTACTTGTGGTTACGTAAATTATTCGAAGGTCTTCAAATATAAAATTTTGCATGATGATAAATACATCAAGTCCCTGGCTGCCTGCATCACTGACAGCGAAAACTCTGCTACTTGATCACTTTTTCACACGAGTTGTACATAGTGTAAATAGGTTCACTGCATTATACGTGCATTTTCATGATTTTTAAGTAATTTTTATTTTTCTACTATTGTGTTTACACTGTGTAGTATTATACACTTTCTCTTCCTATAACTGTGAATTGTCGCCACTTGTACATTACCACACGTAAATAATGATTATTACACTTATTGCCTGCTTTCCGACCCAAGCAGTCCAGACAGATTTCTAGATTTTTAAACCTCTCAGATTGTTTCTCTGATCTTCGGCCTTATCGTCCTTTCCCTTCAACCCTGCCTCCGATTTCTCTTTAGCGAGATAATTACGCCCGAAATTCCATAAGGCTCATTCCATCTGTTACGAAATCTACAGGCGCGGTGAGATAGCTTCCCCCACAAAGCAG